ATTTTGGTTCAAGATAATGCAGCATTCCCGAGCGTCAGTCAGACTGGGAAGTCATGCCCCAAGGGTCCATATTTTTTTCTTCTTCTCACCTTAGTGAAGCAGCTATAAGTTCTGGTCAGGGTCAGCACAGTTTCAGGGGCATGTAACAGTATCCTGGTTTTCTTCTAGCATAGGAGGAATGTGTGGGACATGTGGCAGAGGGTCAGAGGGCAAGGGGAATATAGAAGGAACCACTCCTTTCACTGTTGAGATATTCTTCACGTGACTCAAATCATTGTAGGTTCAACTGGGTAAAACATTTTCTTACTTTGAAATTTAAACATTTCCTGGAATGGCTCAGAGGCTCACACTAGAATACAGAGTTCTTAGTATGTTTTCAGGAGAGCCTCTGAGTCTCTGAGGTCTCTTCTTCAGGTTGGGGGTGGAGGGGCCGGCACAGCTTCCAACAGAAGCTGCCCACAGCATCACCTCCCCCTAGCACCAAGACTATTAGTGCTAAATGCTAATGAGCTCTAGGTTCTGCCTACATCCTGATGTGGTCTAGAATTTCCACAGCTCTGAGACATAAGAAAGCAAGCTGGCAGTGGCTTCTTGGCTTCATCTTTTTTTGTATTTTGGTAGCACTACATAAGAACATAGGCTTTGTAAGTACAAACTCACCTCCAAAACTCAGCTTCCCAACTCACTAGCCAGGAAAGTTGCTGTCTCTGTCCACGGGAAAGATGCCTCCCCTAATGAGCTTCAGGACCTGTACAGTGGCAAATAGGAGACATTCAACACAATGGAGGCTCACACCTAAGATTAGAGTCTCAGGAAAAAGTAATCCAGCTCTTTATCAGAAAAGACAATCTTCTCTCCAAATTGCTGCTTCTTATTTATGTTTCTTGTCTTATTGGATTGTCTACAATGTCGTAAACAAAGCAATAAAGCATAATGGAAATGACAGACATCTTTGTTATGGGCTTCTAACCCTTGACAGCCAAAAATAATATCAGTGGGAAACATGACCTCTTTATCATGTTGAGAAGTAACCTGTCGATTTTCACTTTTAAAATGTTGTTTATTTGAAATGCATTTGAAATTCAATGCCTATATTACCTCTATTGAGATAACCATGTGTTTTTGTCATTTAAAAATTGTGACAAAATATATCTATGCATTTCTTAGTGTTGTCTTAGTCTATTTATGGGGTAAACCTTGCTTTATCATCGAAGATTACTTTTAATGTACTGAGTCTCACTCATAATTCTAATAATTCACTCTTCTAATTTGAACTCTACATAGCAGCCATAATCGTCTTTCTTAAGCATAAATCATGTTATGTCACTCCTTTGTTTAATTTATGTCCAGTGGGGAGCAGAGATGGACAGATCCCAGAGGCTCCCTGGCCAGCCCAATGTGCTGAAGCAATGACCTTCAGGTTTAGTGAGAGACCCTGTCTAAAAAATAAGATAGAGAGACCAAGGAAGATGATTGGTGGTGTCCTCTGTCTTCCACATGTATACCTTCCTCCACACACACACTCAAAAGAACTTACCAATACCTAAAGTTAACTTAATGCATCTTTTTGTTTTTTGCCCGTGTATGTGTGTGTGTGTGTGTGTGTGTGTGTGTGTGTTGTGCATGTATGCGTTTGTTCACATGTATATGTGTGTGTAGAGGCCATAGGCAGATGTAACATGCTTTTCTTGATTATGCTCCACCTTATATATTGAGACAGGGTCTCTCACTTGAGCCTAGAGCTTGCCAGCTTGTTCTAGGGAGCCTCTGTTTCCACATCCCGAGTGCTGGGATCACAGGTGGACCATCATGGCCACATGGCAGTAATGTGGGTGTTGAGGACCCAACTTAGCTTTTCCTGACACACACACTTTACCACTGGGGCATCTCCCTCGTCCACCTTATTACATTGCTTTATGTGCTGATTATTTCCTCTTCTTAGAATGTAGGTGCCCTAGTGCGTGGACTCCTGGTCTTTTTTACTCACTGCTCCTAAGAACCATTGTCTAATGATTATGGGAACTTACTAAATATATCCACCAGTTAGACTGGCTTATTATATTCTTTACTCTTTTTGTTTCCCATCATTTGTCCAGTTCAATTTCAAATCAATATTTGGTTATCTTCTCACATTTTTGTTTTTGGTCTCTGAGACCAGCTCACATAGTGCAGGCCTCTCACAGTGAAAGGTGACCTTAGAGAGCGGCAGGAAGCCTTCTGTCCTGACCTGGAAGTTATATTGAACAACTGCAGAGCCTTCTGGGAGCGGGTGTGACTGTGGAGTTGCTCCCTCTAGTCTTACCCCTGTGACCTCTTTACTGTCCAGGGAGGATGATAATGGCAATGAGAGGTCTGAAGACATTTGAGACCAAGAGTGGGAAGACATTTGGTAAGCCACAGGGTCTCCTGTCAAGTAAGAGGGGTAGATGTCTGACTCTGTCTCTGAGCTGTGGATGGAAGCTCAGGTCATTGGAAACCAAACTCCCCAGAGTGACAAGCTCCATATTGTATGCTCTTAGCTCAGAGGAAAGATCCCTGTTCTGACATGTGGTTACAGTCATGCCTTGTCATCCATCTGCAAGGGAATTCTTCCAGGATTCTCGACAAACACCCAAGTCCATAGACACTTAAGTCTCTCACATAAAATGGCATAGTATTTACATAGAACTTATGCAAATCCTTTTGTGTACCTCAAGCATCTCTGGATTACTTAGGATACCCATGATGTAACAGTTCTCACACTGTATTGCTTAGGTAACATTGGTGGTGAAAAGTCCATACATACTGGGTGGAGAAATGGTTCCCTCACCCTAATTCCTATCAGTGGGCGGCTGAATTCAGAGACACAAAACCTGGGTGTGTGGATAGTTGACCTTTCCTTGTCTTTCCTGTGTGTCTTAGTTTCTTTTCCTGTTGCTTGCGAAATAAGGAAGTAAGTATTTATTTTAGCTCACAGTTCAAAGTACAGTCCATCATGGCAGGGAAGTCAAGGCAGCATGAGCCTGAAGAAGATGTCACATCATACACACAATCAGGAAGCAGAGAGAGATGAATGCCTCTTGTCTTAGTTACTTTTCCATTGCTGTGACAAAGCACCATGACCAAGGCAACTTATGAAAGAAAGCATTTAATTGGGCTTACAGTTTCAGGGGTTTGGGTCTATTATGGCAGCAAAAGCCATGACTGCAGGAACAGCTGAGAGGTCACATTTTGATCCACAGTAGGAGGCAGAGATGGACACTGGGGATGGTATAAATCTTTTGAAATCTCAAAGCCTGCCCCCAGTGACACGCTTCCTCCAACAAGGCCATGTCTACTAATACTTCCCAACTGGGGACTGAATATGCAAACATATAAGCCTATGGAAACCACTTTCTTTCAAAACACCACACCTATGCTCAGCCCACGTTCTCCTTTTCATACAGGTCAGGATCCCAGCCCGGGGAATAGTGCTACCCTAATCAAGACAGCCCCCGACAGGGATGCCACAGTCCCATTTCCCAGGTGGATCTCATCAAATTGACAATTGAGACTAATTATCATGCAGTATTTATAATATATTTATAATGTTCTCTCCCTCTCTCCCTCCTCTCCCCACCCCCAACTCTGTCAAAACTGTTTCACTCTCTGTGGCCCTTTAGGGGCCCAGGAACAATGGAAATGAAGGAATGAGCAACAGCAGCAGAAGCCATCCAGGTGACCACCTCCCTGGAGAGGGTTGCTATGTGAAGCATGATCCTAAGTAGTCTTAATAATAAAAGCCCAGAGTCAGGTGTCAGGGTGAAAGCTGAAAGACCAGAGGAGCAGGGCATCTAGCCACTAGAGACTTCTCACCTCTATGAAAGCTCAGACTGAATGAGGGAAATCCTGTATCTAGAAATTCTCAGACTGAATGGGCGGGCTCTTGTCTCTATGAATCTTCAGACTGAATGGGCCCTAAAATCCTGTCTCCACCTGCCTTATATTCTTCTCTTCACCTCCCTCGTGCTGGGATCAAAGGTGTGAGCCTCTCAAGTGCTGGGATCAAAGGTGTGCGCCACCACCGTATGCCTCTGTTTCTCTTTTTAGACTGGTTCAATCTCATGTAGCCTAGGCTGGCCTGGAACTCCTGATCTTCCTGCTTCCTTCTCCCAAGTGCTGAGATTAAAGGTGTGTGCCACCACTGCCTGCCTCTTTTAGACTGTTTCTCTTTTAGACTGGTTCAATCTCATGTAGCCCAGGGTGGTCTTGAACTCCTGATCTTCCTGCTTCCTCCTCCCAAGCACTGGGATTAAAGGTGTGAGCTACCACTGCCTGGCCTCTATGGTTAATTAGTGGCTAGTTCCACCCTCTGATCTCCAGGCAAGCTTTATTTGTCAGAACACAAAATATCACACAATAGCTATGTAATGGTATTGATGTATATTTTTATTTTTCCCCTAGACTTTGCGAGTCCCTGTGGCTAGGAGTGAGAGTCATTTTAGTATGTGTCGTAGATTAAGGACAGGACTTGTATCGTTAAAGGGATCTTTATTGTTCAATCGGTAGTGGTATCCTGGGTGTGTGGCTCCCCAGTAAAGACCAGGGCTCCTTCATCAAACTAAGTTTTGCGATTCAAAACTGTTCCCTGTTGCCTGTATAATTTTGGTATATGGCTTTCATGTTTTCTGAATGTTAGTTTTTTCTTTTTTTGTTTTTTTAAACGTAAAATAGAGATCATAAAAACACACACCTCATAGATTTGTGGGGGAGTGCTAACAAAAATGACTGATAAAAGGGCTTCATTAGTAGGTGTCCTGTGACCAGCAGCCACTAGTATTAATCTTTCATCTTCTCCCAGCTCTCCAAGCAGGGTTCAGTTTATTTATCCTGGATAATTACCATCGGGCAAGGGGGCCTCCCTACCTCCTCATCTGGCGTAATTACCCAAGTGAAGCCATCCACAGGGAGTGGAGCTGCCATCTGCTCTGAGACCTCCTGTGCAGGGTCTCCCTTCCCCCTTCTGGAGCACAAGAGCAGATGTGGGAGGCTGAGCAGGCAAGACATCCGTTGCTGCTGTTAGCAGCTGAATTTCTGGCATTCCCGCCAGCATCCAGAATCAGAAACCTAGACTACTGCATGCATCCTCAGGGCCTGCCAGGGTTTTGTACATGCGGGGAGAACCTTCTGATTCTTCCTCTTTCCCCTACCAACTTACAAAAGACCTTGCTGGTATTTCTCATTAGTGTAGGTGATACAGGAAAGGGATTGTTGTGTGGGTGTGTGTTGAGTGAGGATACCCAGGTCAGGGGGAAACAGGTGATAGGAAGGATGCTGCAGGGCAGGCTTAGCAAAATGCAAGGCTTGGAAACAGAGCTGTTAGGTCCCTAAGGCCATTCATCCTTATGGGTACTATGTTAGGGAACATGCGTGACTCTATGTAACCTGATTGGTTGCATAGCAGCAACAGTAGTGGCTATTTATTGAGTGCCTGCTGTATATGTACCAGGGATTACTTGGGCCAGTCTCTAAGCCTCACAGAACTCTTTAAGATGGGAGCTACAGGATTCATTACTTATAACTTCAGCTGTTCTTAAGCAATTTGGAGGTGTGCAGTAATATGCGGGGTGGTAGAGGCTGACTTTTGTCATGGGCGGGGAGCTGTTCAGAAGGGAGCTTCTGGGGTGGGGAAGGAGGCTTGCTGACTGCCCCATGCCTGTACCCCCACCCTTGAGAAGCATGTCTCATGCAGTGTTCACAGTTTAGTGTCTTGGTGACAAGTGGCTTCTGAAAGAATGCCAACAACTAGCACTGAGGATGTGGGTGAAAAGAAATGAAGAGGGCTCAGAAAGTGAGCCAGAAATAGAAAGCCGAGATAAAAACTGGAGGCTGAATTTAGCAGTGGTTCGGATTCATAATGTTAGAGAGAAAGAACTCGCCATATTTTTTTGTAGAGAAAGAAGACAAATGATTCATGGAAAGTGCTTTAGGAGTATCCCAGCCAGTGAGAGTGATATTCCTCAACTGTTATATTGAATGTGGGGCCCAAAGGCCAGTGAGCCCCCAAACCCAGCTATAGCCTTGGTAAGGACAGGGACAAATAAATGGCCAGATATCCATGTCATTCTTTAGGAAGAATATCGATGATAGATACACATAAGGCTGTTACACTCACGCATAGGATTCATTTCTGGGCTGAACTTCGTAAGGCTAGCAGATTTGGTTTGGAGGAAGGCACTGTGGGCAAAGGCATCAGCTTGAAGGAAGGTTGGCCTGCCAGGTGATGCTGGCTGTAGTTCAGCTAGAGAATATTTTTTATGTAAATATTATAAAAGAAAAGTGGAGAAGACTAGGTGCTCTGGTTTATGGGAAGGCCGTGAGTGCCAGCCTAAGGGATATGGATGGGTACAGCATGCTGTAAACCCAAAAGTCTAAGTCATGGGGGATGAAAACAGCACAGGTGGATTGTCCATCCCAGGGCAGCAGCCTTCCTCAGTCTCCTCCCTCTGTGCTCACACTAAAGGAGCCCTCAAAACCTAGACCTGTAACACACCATATTATGTTCCCCAGAGGGAGGCATCAGTGCTTACAGGTTTCCATTCATCTTATAGTTAAGGTTGGTTATTTGGACACAGGGAGGAGAAGGGAAGATAATTCCCATTGCAGGCCTAGAGGGAAACAACTGGAATACTGGTGAGGACTGTGGATTGCTACCGTAGGGAGACATAGGTGTGCTCAGGCGCTTTTGTGTGGGACAGTAGCATGCCCCTCCGAGACTCTTACTTCATATACCCACTATTTCTCATATTAGCCTGAAATGGTCCATTCTGTGTTGGACTTGCAGGGACTGGCTCTTTGTTCATCTTTGCTTTTCAGTGGTGCACGCATTGAGTGTTTAAGCTGGATTTGTTTGGTAGATGAACATGTTTATCTTTTGAAGGATGGATTGGAGAGAGGATAGATTGGAGCCTGGGACATCAATTATTAGATGTATCCCGGTTAACTTTGAAGAAGGATACTGACTTTTGAGTTTTGGGGCTTTTTGTGGATGAGCATTTTGTCCCTGGTGGTATGCATGATCCTTAGTGTTAGTGATTAGAAATAAAGCAAAAATACTTATTCACTGGACAGAAGACAACTGTCTGTCTAACTCTTTAAAAAAAAAACCTTTGTGTACATATGTGTGCCTGTGTATGTTTGTGTGTATAAGTGTGGGCACACATGTGCCACAGATCATGTGTGATGATCAGAGGACAATCAGGAGTGCCTGTCCTCAATCTTCCACCTTCTAGTTGTTTGATGGTGCATATGCCTGGTTAGTCGATCCTTAAACTTCCTGGGAGTCTTTGCCTCCTAAATCCTCATCAGAGTTCTGGGATTACAGATGCCTGCTACTGAATCTGACTTTAGGTGGGCTCTGGCTCTGGGCTTGCCTGACTTGATTTATGAGGCCATCTCTCTAGCCCATCATACTCTTCTCTAAAGAACCTCCATTCAGTTTCCCCATCAAGTGAGACATCCCGGGGCTGGTCCGGTCCTTTTGATTCTGTTTAGAATGCAGGTCTTTCTGCTCGCTCCTGGTTTGATGAGTACACAGGTCTGGTTGCCTTCCTTCCAGGAAGACAGACATGGACAGCATTGGCAGTGACAACTAAGGAGATCAAAGTGTCTTGAAAACTGCTTGCTATCGACAGCTGAGAGCTTGACTGGACTGTGACTGGATTAGAGTCTTCAATGTAATTAGTTAGCTCTCTCACTTGCCCTACCCGGCACAGGTAGAGGCAGAGTGCAGGGTCAGAGGGAAGCGAGGGAAGGTCTCCTTTGTTACACATGGAGGATAATTTGGCTTCAGCCCTGCTTGGGCCCTCTGTGTTGCAGTCTGGGTAACTGTCCGATTCACCACAGCACAAGAAGCATTTGAATTTTTTTTTTTTTTTTTTTTTTGCTTGGCAGGGGACAGTGCAACCTGGTGTCAGGAGCCTTGATGCAGTAGTGGGACTGTACGAAAGAGTAGAGGGCAGGGAAGGGACAAAAGGGAAGGAAACTGAGGCTGGTAAGAGCCTAGCTCAACCAAGTGGGACAAGTTAAGAGCCTCAGACATGAGAGCCTTGAACCAAGTCTACTAGAGAAGAAATCCGGAGATGTTCACCTTGTATGGAGGAGGGGGAAGGTTGAGAATGGGGTACTGAGAGGGATGGGAACCATATAGATACCTCAGGAAGAAGAGCCTCAGATCCGTAGTCTTACCTTTGTTTCTTACCAACCGTCTGGTCTTGGGGAGTCATGTCACATCATTGGTATTTTTCAGTAGGATGGTTGGATTAGCTGAGTGCTAAAATCCTTTGAGGATTAGAATTCTACGAATCTGTTTGGAAATTATTAGTAAGATTTCTAATGACTTACTTAGAATTTTTATAAGCTGGGCATGGTGGTGCACATGCTCGGGGTGGTACCACCATGTGGAATGCTGAGTAGGGAGGATCACTCGAGTCTAAGAATTTCAGACCAAAGAGGGGAGCAGAGTGAGACCCTGTCTCAAAATACTACACATACATATGTATGTGTATGTATGCATAAATAGAGTGTGTATATATAATTGTGTGTATACACAAATTTAATTGTATAAATAAATAAGTAAATACGGAATTAATTTATGGGTTAAAAGCACAAATTTGGGTTAAAGTTCAATTTCCTCATCCTCAATGATTACAGTAACACCTAGTTCACAGAGTTGCTGAGATAAATTGGCTATTGCATACAAAGTGCGTAACACAGTACCTGTTCAGCAGTGAATGCTCAGGCACGTTAGCTATCATTGTTGTTGCTGTTGTTATGTGATTTACACATACCCATTTGGTCATATGACTAGTAGGAAAGCATGAGTTGAAGCATTACTTTTTCATTTTAAGGGAGAAGGTGTTTTGGGTTTACATTGTAGGAAAGGCTATAGACCATCATGGTGGTAAGGGTGAGGCAGCTGGTCTCATGTCTTCAGCAGTCAGGAGGCAGAGTCGCACTGATTCATTGCTGAATATCTAAGTGTGTTCAGCATGAAGATGTAGCATCACTCAATAAGTAGCCCTGTAGAATTCAGAGGAGCGGGCTGGGATGTGGCATAGTAGTTGAGTACTTGTTGGGCTGGTGATTTGGAGAGGGTCTCAAGGAAGGAGTGAGACCTGAGGGACAGAATATGGAGAGCCTGTTTCAGGTGAGGGGAATAGAGTGAATTGAATGAACTCATCTGGCACAAGAAACAATGCTTTGAACCCTGTAGGTGAAAATTTTTTTTCTTGATAGTTCTGGCGATGGGAAGAATGGACCAGTCAAGCCCACTAACTTGCTAGAGTTAACCTTGCAAGGTTGGGCACAGGCTCACTCCTAGCCTTGCTAGAGCTGGAGGGTGTGTGTGTGTGTGTGTGTGTGTGTGTGTGTGTGTGTGTGTGTGTGCGCGCGCATACGTCTCTTCCTACAGATGGATATTTTAGAACTTGTTGAAACTAAAGAGGACTACTTAGGTAATTTATTTGATTCAATAAGACATACATTGGAGGAGGCCAGGGAGTTGTTGGAGGTGTCTCACTGCCCTTTTACTTCTTCCCCGATCCAGTGCTAAGCAACAGTCAGATCTTGCCTGCACTTGTCCAGGCTTCTGTCCGAGGTGGTGCTTTCTCAACTGTGTGGACAGTATGGGGTCTCTGAGGGCAGATCCAGACAGGTTTGCTCACAGTTGCAACCAAGCACATTGGCATCGGTAGTGTTGGTGATGACGATGGTGTTGGTGATGACGATGGTGTGGGTGTGAAGGGGTACTGGGACCCTTCTTATTACCTGCCCTGGTGCAAAACCTAGAGTTCTGTCACGTCATCAAATCATAACTCTTACTTCATTTGGAAGTGTCTGTAGCAGCATAGATCAAGCCAGCCCAATTTCTAAATCAAGGTGCCAAGGAGAGGTTCAGTCGTGGCTGCTTTTTGCTCTTTTAAGAAGTGTTTCTTCAGGGAAATGGGCTCTGCTGCTAGTTTAAATGACTTAAGAACCATAAATATTTATGCCAGTCTGCCCAAGGGGCAGAGGTGGCTCAGTCATGTGTCAGGTGTGTGTGTGTGTGTGTGTGTGTGTGTGTGTGTGTGTGTGTGTGTGTGATCGAGCGCACACGCGTGCATGTGTGCACATCTGTACAAGGTGCTGAGTGTCAAAAGGGTCTTGACCATATATCCTGGAGGCTTGAATAGAGTGGTCTGGGAAGGGCATCTCTGCCAGATGACTCAACAGTGGTGACCTCCACTGTTGTGACTCTTTTATTCTTCTATAATGACTGAGCTTTGAGGACAATTTTATTCATCCATCCCCTCACTAGTGTTCTCTCTGGTATGCACTGGGCTTGATTGTGAACAAGGCATCCTGGCTCCTGCTGCTTGTCATGCTTACATTTCAGTAGGGCATCTTTGCGTGCACACACACACATACACAGTCCTAGCTACTTGGAGGGTGAAAATGGGGTCTGGGGAGACTCTCAAGTTTGAAGTGAGCCTAAGCAATGCAGCAAGATCCTATCTCAAAAAGAAACAAAAGAAAACAGAGCCCCAAACCCCAAAGTCCCACCCACACCTCACCTGTTAACTATGGAGAGAGGACGTGTTTACAAAATACCTAAGTCTAATGATGACAAAAATTCCAAAGCAATTGGATTGAAAAAGCTCTATTAGGAAAGCAGTTACTGATATTAAGCTGTCTTAGCAATATCACAATGAGATAAAATAGATGTCAGAACAAAAAAGCCCCCCTCGGAGCTCTAAGCATCATTATTGAGTAATAAAAGGAACAATTTATGGGAAAATACAATAATTCTGAACCTTTTTGATAGAGAAAGAAAACTTTGACATAATTACAGAAAGAAGTAGGTAATTAAGTCACACAAAAACATTAAGGTTGCAACCGATTTGAATAAACAAAACAGTATGACACGACCCAGCTGCTGACCATATCACTTGAAACCTACTTTTTTGTCTAGGTCTTTGGTTGTTAGAGATAATGCATTTCCTAATTAAAAAATGGTTTATTTTTATTTGATAGTTTCATTTTAGTGTACTTACTTTTATTTAAGTGGCTATAAGCCAGCCAGAAGGGGGCTGGCTTCCATGCCGGAAATGGAGTTACAGGCAGTTGTGAGTTGCCTGGCTTGGGTGCTGGGAACCAAACTTGGGTCCTCTAGAAGACCAGAGAGTGTTCTTAATTACTGGGCCATTTCTCCAGCCCCACATTTCCTAAATTTTAAGGTTCATTTACCCAGAAACCTTTGACATTTATAGTCAACTGTCCTAACCCGTGCCTTGTTAGATGGGTTTTACAACCTAATTACTTCAGATTTTAATGTTTAAGTGGCTTTTCCTTTGCCATGCGTAGTAAGTGACACAGTCTTTCTGACGATTTCTCTAGACCAAGGATATGGAGACAATGTGGGAACTTTCTTATCCTCTGCTCACAAGCCTCCCAGGATCCCAGATTTTGCAGATCTCATTGCGTTTTCCTGTCTTGACTGAATGTAAAGTCACATCTCCTGTCCCTGTGGTAGCTTCAAGTTTCCGAGTCTCCATTCTTGACCCCACTTAGGGGCGGGACCTGTGGTCCTTCCCGTGGATGTTCTACTTGGGTTCTGTGTTTCCTTTTTGCTTTTAGCACTCAAGGATTCTACTCTTCCCCCAGCTTGGCTATGTGTATTCATGCTTTCTTCAGTTCTATCTCATCTGGCATTCCTCTGTAGGGAAGACAGAGAGGGCCAAACTAGTCCAGGCTCTCCCTTGTTGCAAGGTGTTCTCATCATTTTCGTTTTCTAAGAGCCTCAACCTTGGGACTTCTGTCCTGAGGTTTTGTTCAAGGAACTAGGAACTATGTAAGCTTTTGCGGATGAATGAGTCTACAACACAGATTTCCCCCTCCCCTAGTACTCAATATCTGTACTTTCTATTGAATGTAGACTGAGGGAGCTGGCAGTTGTTGCATGAGTGATATTATTAAATTAAACACAGGCATGTGTCACCAGTGATTTGATGAACAACCTGATGATCAACCACAGTAATGGTGAACAATAGCTTATGGAGAGAGAGATATGGGAGGATATCTTATCTTCATTTACTGTAATAGTGGTTACTATGATGTATCAAAAGAAACAAACTACTGTGTATGATCTGATTGGCTTAGGTCAGTTACCAACGGTCACATAGTTTGAGATGCTAGTTATTAGGTGAATCTAGAGTTTAAAGGAGGTAATAGAGAAAGAAATATATTAACTTGGGAGTCATTAGTGCTACGTGTGTTTAAAAACCATAGGAACACATGGAATCACTTACTGAGCTGCCGGGGAGATGTGACAGAAATGACTCAAGGGAGGAGGGTTTATTTTGGTTCATAGCTCAAGGGCACAGTCCATCGTGGCTGGAAAAACATGGCAGCAGGAGCAGAGGGCAGCTGTTCACCTCATATTCACAATCAGGAAGAAGAGAGTGATAGATGCTATGCACAGCTCATTTTCTTCTGATTTTGAAGTCTGGGACCACAGCCTATGGGGTTGTGCCACCCATATTTGGAGTGGGTCGTCTGACCTCAATTAACCTAGAATCTAGATAATTCCCCACAGGGATTCCCAGAGGCTAGTCTCACCTCGATAATCCCTGGAAGGCATGCTCCCCATCTCCTAGTTGATTCTAGAGCCTGTCAGTCAGTATTAAGCACCACAGAGTGGATGGGATCCAGTGTGTAACTGGAGGGGTCCTCTTCAGAGAAGAAGCACAATTGGGTTTATTGTTGTCAACTACTGATTCCTGAGCAAAGGGAATCACAGAGGGGCAGCAGGTTGTATTCTGTTTAGGATCACCCAAAGACTCCTGACTCAAAAAGAAAAATCATATTTCCCACTGTGTTATCACTTGCTTCTGATTTTCAGAATGCCTATAAGATTAACAAGACATTAGGCTGGTCCATTCATTCCTGAAAACCCAATAGTAAACTTATCCACATGGACCAGGGAGGGGGTATCAGTCAGTTGCCAGGGACTGCCTTTAACTTTTAGCAACTGGATAACTACAGATTTTCGAATATATAGCTAAAGAGGAAGAAGTTGGAGGGGCTGTACTGTACTGCTGGCCAGCAGGACCTCTGTCTAGTTATTTAGGAGAACAAGAAGTTTAGACTTAGTTTCTAAGTGTTTTTATGACTTCCCCTCCATGAGGTGACATCACTGATTGAAAATCAAGTGCCAGCTCTATGCGAAAACATGAGGCTAAATGAAGAGTGAGCATTCCCGTGCCTTTTCAGAACTCAGAGACCAGTGAGGATGCAGATATGCTCTATGAAGAAAAAGAAGAGAAATTCTGGTTCCAATGTGAGCAGAGGGCACAGGGAGCCCAGAGGAAGGACCTGGAGGTCTCAGACTTAACTGTGAGTGGCACCCTCTGCTGACTAATTAATGAACAGAGCCTGGGGGAAGGGGACAAAGGCGTGCCTTGTGCTGGCTTGGCAGCGAGAATGCCCAAGCCAGCAGCTTCAAGGCTAATTAAGTGAAAAATGATGCGATTGATTTATTTGCTTCCAGCCAAATAGAACTTGGTCAGCATGGAAAAACCAATGAGTTTAACATTTCTCGGTTTCCAGCCTGTAAGATGACTTCAGCATCTTTCCTCAACGGTGCATTCTGGTGGTGAAACACAATATTATTTAAACACTTCAACTGCATCACTTCAGCTAGGGAAATGGGGCTGATGCACCAAAAGAATGGGATGGTCACATTTGGCTGTGGGAAGTAGAGGTGGGTATAGGGACATTTGAAGGCTAATGTGAAATCATGGTCTGGGGTTGGGAGGATCTCTTGAGATAGTTCATTCCATCTTGGTCATGCTGTGGTAGATAAATTAGATGGTATGAAACAAGAGGCCAGGAGCATAGCAAGGGTACTTTGAAGTTGCTCAGGTAATAAAGAGAGAGGTGAGGGGCAAATGTCTTTAGGGTGGAGGATTTTATTTAATTTTGGAAAATCTGTATTTTGGAAGTTAGATCCAACTTTTTCATATAAGGTTCAAGTTTTTTTTTTTAATTGTTGTTATTTTGAGACAACGTCTCTCTGTGTAGCCCTGACTGTCTTAGAACTTGCTACATAGAACAGGCTGGCCTTGAACTCACAGAGATCCACCTGCCTTGGCCTCTTGAGTGGTGGAACTGAAGGTGTGTACCACCACACCTGGCTTATACTCTGATTTTTGTCAAATACAAATAGACTAGGTAGTTACAGTTATAGTCCTCCCGAATCTTAGCCAAGGACATATTAGGTACAAAATTTATATTCTTCAAGAAAGAAAAACTATTGGAACAATCTCTATAAAATGGGCAATTACCTGTGGTCTGGATATCTAGGATGTGTTTCTTACTTTTAATTGTTCTTGTTATATAGTTATATATATAGTTTCATTTTGTTAAGGTTGTTACCTTTCCTTTCTTCTGGACAATACTTGATAATAGTTTTATTTGTATATAGTTTTTTTTTTAATGCTAGGTTTAGAACCTTCCTTCCTAATTAGACAAGAAGAGGGAAATGTTGTTGGAATTATTGATGCCGGCCTGCTAGCCAATTATAAAGGGCTGCTTAGCCCAATGGTCATGGTCTTCTCTGGAGAGATGTGACCTGATAAAAAGCCAAGGCAGGCAGACACATGCTCTCTCTTGGTCTATGGACTTTCTGAAGCCACAGCTTGGTGATCTTCCTCAGACCTTTCCCATCATCCACTTGGAACAAGAGGAGTGCAGTGTACTAATTTTGTCTATCAATAAACTCTGAACTGACCCCAGACCTCTGTCCTGCAATACGGTTCAAATCTTTGACATAGTTTACTTTGTTCAGCAAATCCAATCAGTCTGCTACCTATATCTGCTTCTCCCCACTAAGTTTATTTATTTATTATTTATCTTTGTGAGTGTATGATATGTGTGTATGTCTATGTGTGTGTCTATGTGTCCAAGTGCATTTTTGTAGGTGAGTATGGGCATGCACGAGTCTCACTGTGAGCACTTGGATGCCAGAAGACAACCTGGAGTACTGCTTCTCACCTTCTACCTTGGATGAGATGGATTTCTTTGTTCACCGCTGTATATGCCAGGTGAGCTGGAATAGTTTCTGGTATTCTCCAGTCTCCACCTCTCAGCTCACCGCAGGAGCACTGAGATTACAGATGTGCTATCAGAGATTAAACTTCAGGTCTGATGCTTGTGGAGCAATCATTTTACCCACCAAGATGAGATATCTCCCCAACCCCCAAATCTTGCTCTTTAATTTACCTTCAATAGGAATTGTTTTTGAATGGCAGTAACTTGATGTATGTATGTATGTATGTATGCATGCATGTATGTATGTATGTGTAAATGAATGCATGCATGCATGTATGCTTGGTTTGGGAGTTACCTCTGAGGGTCTTTGGCCTCATATGATGTTGTGGAGACAGATAGATATGTGAACCATAATCTCATGCAGAAGAAACATGGTTGTGTTAAGTAATATGCTCTGGGAGCAAATGGAGAGGCCAGACCTAATTTTCTAGGTGAGTCAGAGAAAGAATTCACCATCTTTGTATGTGAAAGTATAGGGGTAGGGTGGTATATATAGAGAAGTAATGTTTTAATTGTATTATTATCTCAGAAAAATATCCTGATTGTGAAGGTTGAATAGTAACCTTTTTATTAAAAAAAATTAAAATTATTTATCACTGTATTTATTTGTGTTTATGTGTGTGTGTGTGTGCACATATGGGGGTCAGAGGACAACTTGTGGGGGTCAGCCTTCTGCTACCACGCAGAGCCCAGGAACTGAACTCAGGCTGCCAGGCTTTTAAGCAAGCCCCTTTACCTGGTGAGCCACCTTGATAATTCAAATGATAAATCAGAACCGAGAAGAGAATTTAGGGAGAGGGAACAGTATAAACAGAGTCACAGAGGTACAGTAGCATAGACTGTGCCTGGGGTACGTGGTATGGTGGTAGGAATGTGGACTAGTTAGTTTGTCCTCAAATTCTGGGTCTCTCCATTCTACGAGCTTAGGCAAGTTCCTTAGCTTCCTGTCCCTTGGTTTCCTCATCCGTTGAACAAGGTGAGTGACAATATACATCTGATAGGATTATGAGAATAGGATGTTAATGATTATGCTCGAAAATTACTTAAAACAATGACTGGCAGTTGATAAATTCTCAGTAACTACAGGTCATCATTTGACCAAATATTTGGGAGTTAAAAAAAAAAAAAGACTAGGTATGACTGGAGAATGTAGGTATAGCTTTTTGTTACTGCTTTTCCTTTAAAATATTCATAGGTGTCAAATAACATGGGAGAGAGAGCTCTGAGGACCAGGTTGTGATTTAGTAAAATATAGACATTAAGTTAGCTAGGACTTGAGAGAGGGAGTTGGAGCTCCAGGACAAAGAGAGAAAGCTGGGCTTTAATCCTGGGCATTTCCAGTCCAACCCCGGGAGCAAATGAACTAATTACCCACAAATCTTCACATTTCAACAGCTGGATTCAAACCCCATATTTCTCTGCGGAGTCATTTCTCACCTTCACTGATTTTAGGGCCAAGGCTTGTCTCATAAATTGGAGGAAACAATGAAATATGGGCTCCCAGTGTGGCCCCGGTGTCGGAAAAAAACAATGCATGGGGTGCGCCCGCCAAGCTTTCCTTTCAGCCTGTGAGCTAATGGTCCTTTCTGTCCCTAAGTTAGATGCAATGCCCTTGAGCTGGAGAAATGATGGTTCAGTTGAGACTCCAGGGCTCTCAGTGATGGAAAATACTGAAACGTGCTGAGGATACTCAGCCATTTGCCTTCTCGAATGATCCCTCTTTTGGGCATCTGTTAGTCAAGTTTCTCAACTGAACAATTCTTTTGTTTGGGAAGGGTGACAAGATGACCATTTGGGGACTTTTTTTGTCCCTAGCAAGTACCAGTGACTAGCGGGAACTTTGCTATCTCCTCATCATCCCCAGTTCTGTGTTTTATAACTGTCAATGCTGCTCAGCCTCACCAGTGACCCAAAGCTAGTGAGGGGCGTTCCCCCATATTTGCTCCTCTGCTGGGTCTTTGGGGGCAGGATAGACAACATAGATGTGTTGACGTAAACAAATCACCAAAGAATGATAATGTGTATTGAACACCTACTCTGTGCTGTGTTCACAGTTAGGCAGTTTGAAGAATCATAGAAGTCACCAACTTACTGACTCTGCATGTATGTAAATGTGTATATGTGCACGTGTATGTATGTGCATGCACACATGCCAGGGTCTAAGTACTGTGTGTGTGTGTGTGTGTGTGTGTGTGTGTGTGTGTGTGTGTGTGTATGTATTTATTTTTATGTTTTTGGTTACAGTCTTCTTTGGTCTGGGCAGACCTTGAATTCTGTCTGTAGCCAAGGGTGACATTGAACTTCTGATCCTCCCGCTCCCACCTCCCAAGTGACAGGTGTGAAATGGCAGGTGTGCACCACCACATCTGGCTTTGTTTATTCTTGTTTAATCTTCACACCAAATCTTCAGAATACTAATTGTTGTGTCCAATTTACTCATAAAGAAAGTGAAGCTCAGAGGTTTTTAAATGTGAAATTGGGAGCATTTAAACAGGGAGAGGCAGTATAGAACTTGAGCCCTATAATAATAAATAATAAATAATAAATATCAGGGATTAAGATCACCAGAACTTTGGCCTTGGACTTCTAGTGTCTTGAATTATGAGAAAATAGGTTTTCATGGGGAAGGCCACTGAGTCATCTCGCAGTTGACATTAGAGCTTGGATCTAGGCTTTGAGGTAGCCTTGCATCCCTAACTTGCTCCTTTATCGCCAGTAGAATAAGAATGGAGGAGGCCTGGGTTCGATCTGCATGGGGTTCTGGCTGTGTGGACAGTGGCAGAGAGTAGAGTGTGGTTTTGGACCACACATACTAGACAGAAATGAGCACCAATCAGGCTGCTCAGGGAAAGCCAGATGGGTTCGATGGGGCATTTGTATGGCTGCTGAAGATTCCTCCTGATTTAGTTGTCAAAAATGACAAGAGGTAGGAACGAGGTGGTTATACATGTTAAAGACAGGAAACTGATGTTTTCTGAGTTACACAAAGGGAGTTTGCAAGGGATGCTCACATGGGCATGAAACTCCATGTTTATCCAAGGTGACTCGGCAGCAATTAGGAATGCATTGGAGGTCAGGAGGGGTGTGCTTTGCAAGAGAATGTCTACTTGATTGAGGTGCCTTTAAACAGGAATTCAAGGACAAAAAGAAAAAAAACAGTCTATCAGATTAACTATGGACAAAGAGTCTGGCATTAGAAACCAAAGCAAACAAGACATTTAGTGGAGGGGTCCAGTTATTCAACAAAGGAAAAACAGTGAAATATGACAAAAAGACACATGGTTGTCGATGTACATCCAGCAGTATGGAGAAGAAATAAGGAAACATTAGC